GCTACTCTTCATTGCGGTGCGCAGGCTTCTCATTGCGGTGGCTTCTCTTGTTGCGGAGCACAGGCTCTAGGCGCATGGGCTTCAGTAGTTGTGGCTCGAGGGCTCTAGAGCGCAGGCTCAGTAGTTGTGGCGCACGGGCTTAGTTGCTCCACGGCAAGTGGGATCTTCCCGGACCAGGGCTCAAACCCGTGTCCCCTGCATTGGCAGGCGGATTCTTAACCACTGCGCCACCAGGGAAGCACCATGTCCTTTTAATGTAATTACTAACATGGTTGGATTGCATCTGCCATTTCGCTATTTGTTTTTGTATGTCTTTTTTGTTTGTCGGTTTTTCCTTTGCTGCCTTCTTTTGTGTTAAATAGGTATTTTTCTGTTGGACCTTTTAAATTCCTTTGTCAGGTGTTTTAATATGTTATTTGAGTTTTTGTTTTTTTAGTGGTTGGTCTTGGGATTATAATATATAATTTATCATAATCTATTTTAGGTTAATAGTGACCTAATTCTGAAAGACTATAGCAACTTTGTTGCAACATAGCCCCATTTCCTCTTCTCTCCTTTGTGTGGTTATTGTGATATATATTACACCTTTATACATTTTAAGCCCAACAATACAATTTTATAATTATTATTTTATGCAGTTTTCTTTTTTTTTTTGCGGTACACGGGCCTCTCACTGTTGTGGCCTCTCCTGTTGCGGAGCACAGGCTCTGGACGCACAGGCTCAGCGGCCATGTATCACGGGCCCAGCTGCTCCGTGGCATGTGGGATCTTCCCGGACTAGGGCACGAACCCGTGTCTCCTGCATTAGCAGGCAGACTCTCAACCACTGCGCCACCAGGGAAGGCCTATGCAGTGTTTTATATTTATCTTTATAATTATTTCCACTGATGTTCTTCATTTCTTGTGACTTTTAATTACAATCTGCTGTCATTTCCTTTTAGCCAGAAGAATTTCTTAGTACTTCTGTTTTTTTTTTTTTTTTTAATTTATTTATCTTATTTATTTATTTTTGGCTGTATTGGGTCTTCGTTGCTGTGCGCGGGCTTTCTCTAGTTGCGGAGAGCGGGGGCTGCTCTTCGCTGCCGTGCGCGGGCTTCTCATTGAGGTGGCTTCTCTTGTTGTGGAGCACGGGCTCTAGAGTGCAGGCTCAGTAGTTGTGGCACATGGGCTCAGTAGTTGTGGCTCACGGTCTTAGTTGCGCTGCGGCATGTGGGATCTTCCCAGACCAGGGCTCAAACCCGTGCCCCCTGCATTGGCAGGGGGATTCTTAACCACTGCGCCACCAGGGAAGCCCTCTTAGTACTTCTTAAAGCAGGTCAGCTAGCAGTGAATTCTCTCAGTCTTTGGAATGTCTTTATTTCATCTGCATATTTTTTTTAAACGATAGTTTTGCTGGATATAGAATTCTTGGTTGACAGTTTTTGTCCTTCAGCACTTTGAGTGTGTCCTTCTACTCTGGTCTCCATTGTTTCTAATGAGAAGTTAACTGTTAATCTTATTGTTCTTCCCTTGTACTTGATGAATCCATTTTCTTTTGATGCTTTCAAAATTTTCTCTTTGTATTTCAAAAGTTTAACTGTGATTTGTTGAGCAAGTTTAATCTGTGAGACTTGTGGGCTTTTTAATAAAATTTGGTAAGTTTTCTGCCATTACTTGAGTATTTTTTTCTGCTTCTTTCTTTCTCTCTTGCCCTTCTGGAACTCTTGTTATGTAGGTGTTGATATACTTGATGTTATGTTTCAGATCTCTGAGGCACTGTTCTTTTTTTTTCCCAATGTTTCTTTTTTTTCCCGTTCTTCAGAATGAATAATTTCTATTGATATTTTTTTCAACTTAACTGATTCTTTCTTCTGCCATCTCAAATGTGCTGTTGAGCCTATATAGTGAATTTTAAAATTTGGTTATTATACTTTACAACCCTAGAATTTCCATTTAGGCTTTTAATGTTTTTATTTCTGTATTCAGATTCCATATTTGTTGGGCCATTGTTGTCATATTTTTCTTTAGTTCTTTAAATATGATTTTAAAATATTCTTTGAATGATAGTTCAAACAATAGTTCACAAATCCAACCTCTTGGTCTATTTAGTTTCTCTTGGCTGCTTTCCTCCCTCAATATAGGTCACACTTTCTTTTTTCTTTGCATGTCTTGTACTTGTTTATTGAAAACTGGGCTCTTGGATTTAACAACTTTGGATTCTGATATTATCTTCCTTGAGTTCTTTGTTTTTGTTTTTTTTGGAGGTGGGGTAACTTTTCTGTAATTTAGGGAGTCAGTCTCCCCTGCTTTGCGTGGCCACTGACACCAGTGCCTTTGCTTGGGGTTTTTGTTTTGTTCCCTGTCCTAGCTCCCTTCCCCTCCCCGCACTGCCTTTTTTTTTTTTTTTTAGCCAGGCTTCTTCAGGGTTGCCCCTTATCTGCATACCTTTGTGGTCAGCCAGTGAGTTGGGCAGATGCTGTGCTCAGACACCTTGAGCTTATATGTTTTCTCTCCTTCACTTTTGATTCTGTGTGTGGTTTGGGGACCACATTGAAAGTTCAGCCTGATCTCAAGTCTGCCTTAGCTTTTCTTTCTGCTGGGAGCTTTTTTGTGCAGTTTCCCAGTCAGCCATGCTTGTGTGGAGAGCCTTCCATGGCTCTCTCATTTCTAGGATCTTCCCATTAAATTTCTGGCTGGTCTGCCTCTCCTCTTACCCTAGTCAGGATTGCAACCTCAGGCTCGCTGAGTTGTGGATCTTCCTTGTTTGTTTCCTGCT